TTAAGTAATAGGTCGAAGTATTTAAGCATTTATTATTTTAATATTTATGTATATCCTTTATACGGCCTGCTTGTCACGTGAGGACAATCGGTACGTCACCCTTACAAAAAAACAAATGTACTTCATATAAATTCTAACTAACCAAACTGGAATATCTGAATTCATCAGAGTAATTCCACTTTCACTTGCCCGATCCCTATCAATTGTCACTTCAATGGTTCGTCGGTTTATGCCGTGTATTATGGTGGGTACATATTATATAACATGTTTCAGTAATGTGGAGACTGAATGTTATGAAATGTGTTATATAACGTGACACAAATGTTATATAACTCGAGAGTATTTTTCTCTAGTGAATAAACTATATTTATTTGGGACGAACCCAGTATCTATGTTTTTTTTTTCTTTTGTTATTTAAAAGTCGAAGAGTTGCTGCAGCAGATAGCAAAACGTCTTCTCGTGTCAAAATTGTGAAAAGCACTGCAGAACGACAAACGACAATGTCATATAACATTGTTATATTGCATTGTTATTCTAATATGTACAGTATTTTTATATGTTGCAATGTTGAAAAACAATGTAACATAATGTGGACGTGTTATAAAACAAAAGTTACACAACATGTTACTTGATTTCTGTGCGCACCTTTTGAACGCCAGAACAACTTCAAATATTTCCACCCCATTTTTTTACACATACATTATGAAAAATTGCTTTTTTAATATTTATTATTTAGATTTGTAATTTTAAAGGTAAAATAAAAGTACTTACCAAGTATACTTGCTTACTTAAGTAGTAAAATAAAATAAAAGCATCTATGTGAGGTATTTCATTATATTTTTTAAGGAATCCATTAACCCCCGTTAAAATTTATACGCTACTGTAAGACGAAAAAATATTTTTCATTAATATTGCAGAACTATTTCATTAACAGGATAGTGGCCGTCGGGCGTGATAAGCGAAGGGTCGACTTCAGTGCTTGTATTACGTCAATGTTTCATTTTACGAGTGTCCCGAGACTTTTTCCAAAAATACTCCATTTCTAAATGCTAATGGTAAACTTTATCTTTACGTTTACTTTCTCAAAATCAGTTATCAGTTTCTATGTTTATTCTGTTACAACTCTAGCCTGATTATCAACACTATGAATTTATTTTTATCACGCTTTTATAAGTTTGGTTTTTATGTATTTATACAGCGTTACTTTCCAAAGACAAGCCAAATTTCATAATTAAATTCAAATTATAAATACTACTATATGCTTATTGCAGTTTCTAAAAATACACGTAAATAAGGTTTCTACATTTATTTGAAAATATCCGAAATTGAATGTGATTTATGGGCAACGCACGCGTGCTCGTGTGTAAAAGAGTCAATGTGTGCGTGCGTAACAAAATTATCAGATAGTAGACACTACATATTTATAAATGACAATCAGTTTTTTTTAACGTTACCCCCACACTAGGTTTTTCTCCTGTATTGTGAAGGCATATCCTTGTGCAATATATGACAAACACATATTGCACAAGGACAAACATCCAAACACGGAACAATTGTTTGCAGGCCATACAAATATTTGTTCCGTGCAGGATTCGAACCCGCGGCCCGCAGCGCATCAACTCATTGCTAAGCCACTGTGCCACGGAGCGGTCAAAATAGTCGGAGTTGAAATAATGCATTTCCACATATTTTTAATATAAAAGGTAAAAAGGAAAAAATGTGTGAGCTTTTTTTCTTATATTTTTTTTCGCCGTTCACTTATTTTATTTACCAGTTTTGAACCTCCTGTGCAAAGGAAAATGTTAAAACTCGCCTAAGAACCAACATATATTTGACTATTACCAAAATGCTTATCCTTAATTATGCATTAGATAATATTCATTAGATAGTAACGGACACTTCTGACTTGTGAAATCAAAATAAAAAGGACTTTTTCGATTTTGAACTTTGTACCTATTTTTTAATACTATTGTGCTTCGTGTATGACCTCCTGTGATTTGACTAATCGCACAATACCTTCACTCGCATATTTCAAAAGTTGACATAAACTCAAATATATTATGAAAACGTTTATATTTTAAAATTTATCTCAGATTAATATATGCCACAAGGAACTGGGGTACAGTGAAATCATCTATTTTCATTTAAAATAACAATACTTTTGTCACATCATTGGCAAATCAGCATTGTGCCACGCAAAAAAAGTCAAAAACGTTGACAGATGACAACAAGTCAAAATAGATAGACGTCAGACGTGTTATTGTTTTGGTTTCGTTTGAAAAAATACATTTCTGTAAATGTTTTAGGAATCTAAGTGCACTCTGTAGTTGCTTTGTTATGCGATAAGTTTATATAAATTACGAACAACGGCTTGAACAACGGATACGATGTTTCATAAACATAAAACATAACTCAAAATCTCTATGATAACTGCAAATATCTAAGTTTTCAGAAGTGTCCGTCAGGAGTTATTGTTCTTACATACAATTATGTGTAATTTCGGACTTAAAAAGGTATTTTTTTCACTGTTGATTCTTAGGCGAAAATTGTATGGACGCAAAACATTGTCCTTTGGCTGGTTATTGCAAAATAATCCTGTATATGAATGTAACGGAATTCTATAATTCTGTTCACCTACTTGCGGACATCTGAAGTATCCGATAGTTTGCAGACGTATTAATAATCGATTACAATGTAATAATTTAATAAAAAGAATCTAGTAATCTCAGTAGAATCATCATAGCTCATGCTTAATGCATATTTTTTAAGTTTAAAAAGAAATTGTCAGCATAACAACTATCAAAAGCCCGCTAAAATAGGGCCAGATAGATTGCCTCTTAAGAGAGACTTTTACCATAGTTGCCCCGCTTGGCATGCAGGCTTGCAACCCTATTTTTTTATTATTTGAGTCATCCCATCCGCCATTACAGTCTCCCTCTGTCGCCTATTACGACAGTGATGATAATATGGGGTTGTAGATTTTATAGAGAATCCATTAGAACAATACATAAGGAAGGAAAAGAAAAGTTGACATTAAATAATAATATTAAATGTCAATTTCTTTCTTAAGTCGCTTTTAAAAGTCCCCAGTTGGACATGGGTCTCTCCTTTTATTTATCCTTTTCATTTAAAATTTAAAGTACACACTTTGAAACAAAAAAAAAGAATTTTCCAAATCGGTTCAGGCGTCTTCGAGTACTCGGTATATACATAAAGAAAATCAGACGAATTTTAACCTCTCATATATTTTGAAGTCGGTTGAAAAAGGTGTGTTGAATGTTGCTGAACATATGGCAACGAGGCATTTTATCTTAGCCCTTGGATACTAAAGTGACTTTGAATCTGCAGTTTAATTGCTACTCGAGGCTAGATACGGGCTCACAGCAACATCGTAATATATGTAACAGATTGAATTTGTTTTCGTTTGTCACCCTAGGTGAATAAATACTCGTATTTTGAAATATTTTTTTCGTGTTTCATTATACAGATTTTGTGCGTTATACAAAAAATCTGTTAGTAATTTTTTTTGCCAGCTTGGGCTTTACAACTTGATTTTCTCACTAAAAGTACTAAAAATTGAATTCTGTCCTAAGCTACGGCATCTCCCTACGTTTTCCTTAAAGTTAACGTCTTATTTTACATTTATATTTTGGTAGGAGACTTCAAAATTCTTTCTGTTCTAGGTCTGTGCTTAAGCTGCGTCTTAAAATATAATTCTAACGAAATATTACCGACATATCTATATAAGGGTTCTTTACTACATTAAAGTCGATTTGAACAAACCAATAAACCAGATAAATGTCGATTACTTCGTCAAACGAAAGCCATCAATTTTATTACGAGATTTTGATTTTAGATTAAATATTTTATTGCTTTGATTGTAGCATTTTATTTGTTGTGTTTCTTTCGATTACTTTTAATAGCTAATAGTTTATTTGATAATAATTGGATACTGCGACCCATGAATTTTTTTTATGAAACTGAATTACCAAACGAACTAGTAACTACTCGTACCTAAAAAAAGTGTCTAACAGGCGAGTTTTGGAAATTTTAGAAAAATCTTATCTTAGCTTTTGATTGAAGAAGATATTTCTACTAGTTTATGCCAAACATAAAATATTCAGACTGACGACATCGTGGGAGGTGCGAAATGCTAAGCGTGATGTTTAAGGTAATTACAACGAGAGAGACCCATATCCAGTAGTAGAGTTCTACGTACCGATTATGATTATGAAGAAAAGTTTCCTGTATTGATAATTATCGTCATCAGCCTGTTCAAATTCTAGTAATAGATGTTATGGCCTTTTCCTTAACTTCTCTGTATTAATAGTAGCTGCTATGTCTCGGCTAGTGGAACGTCGCTTTGCTGCTGCCAAGCATCATTTACTTGAATAGTTTATACCTATAAACTGTTTACACCACCAGCAACCAGATGCCACAAGTTCGTCCTAACATTTTACAAAATCAACACTTACTGTAAAATAAAAATATAAGATCAAACGAACTTCTCAAGTGAAGTTCGATCATTATTATATGAATCGCTTCATTTGAAGATATAATATTTACCACGTAGTACCTTAAACCTACAGGTGACTTTGCACGCTTTAAGAGACAGTCAATTGACTCAAAACAAAAGTGGCGGCATACTTCCGCTACTGTCTTGTCTTGCCAAGCGGAGCCGTGCCGCTGAGAGCTCATTTTCTTTAGAGATTAAAAGCTTTCCTGGGTAGAGCGTAGCTTGGGTTGGGTGGGTGATAATGAATTATATCTTCAAATGAAGCGATTCATATAATAATGATCGAACTTCACTTGAGAAGTTCGTTTGATCTTATATTATATTTCATCGCTTCATTTTTCAGATATAATATTTACCACGTAGATTTTTAGAGGAGTTCATCCGAAAGTTGTGCTGTGGTTTAAATAAAACTATTTGCAATTAGTATATTGTTTTATTCTAGAATAATAATTTAATTTGTAATTCATGCGACAATCATAAATTATTATCTTGATGATAAACAGACAGACTTCGCAAAGTTTCCATCATCGATCAATACGCGGTTATAACAACGGGCAAAAGCGCTAGACGAGGATGTCCACCCAGCAGCCTTACGTATAGTGTCAACGCTGGCGCCTGCGCTGAAAGCGGCAGAAGTAGATGCGTGTCGTGTGCTGTGAGCACCGAACACCGACACGTCTATTCCGCTCTCAGAAAGTACTTGTTTTATCCAACGACTTATTGTTTGGGTCGTGGCTGGTTTGTGTGGATGTTTAAAAGTTAATAAAAGATTACCATTGTTTTGCAATCTCTTTTTATCTGTAAAAGAAATGTAATCTTTTAATGTACTTGCAGGGCATATATTTAAATTATGTGTAAAAAATGGTAATACTAATACAGGTTGATCACGACCCGGCACGGACGTCTTAATTAAATCGGAAATTACTATTTTTGCACCACTGCTTGTAAATGAAATATTTTCCAATTTTATAAGAGACAGAGTTTGGACTCTGTGACCAGTACAAATAGCTAACAAGGTCACAAGCTTCTTTGTAATTTTTTCCAGGCTTAAATTTATGTTAGGAAACCATTCTTTTAGGTAATTTAAAACAATTTGGGGGTCCCATGTTTGGATATATTTGGGAACACTTGGTTTCAATTTATATGCCCCTTTAAGCAATCGTTTTACGCTATCATTGGTAGTAAGATTGCTACCAAAGAGCAACGACAACGCAGATCGATGCGAGTTTAGACTACCGTACGAGCAACCTGTATTAAACTGTTCAGTCAAAAATAACATTATAAATGATAAAGATGGTGAGAAAACGTTTATAATGTGTTGGTTACAAAACTGCCACCATAGTTTGTAAGACACATTGTATTGTTTTACCGTACTTTCAGAGAGCGAAGCCAGCATTAAAACTAAAGCCTCTGGAGGGCATCCTCGTTGAGCGAAGGCTTGTTGGAGAGCCTCGCGACACCCAGGGTAAGGTGTGCATGCAGGGGGTGATGTTCCCTGAAATTAGATTGCAATAGGAATTCATGAGGATTGAGGTACAAAATATCAGATACCATTAATCTCTGTAACAACGGGAACCAGGGCTGTGAAGGCCAAAATGGAAAAACAAAAATACCGTCTGCCTTGTCATCTACAATTTTTCTCAAGCACTTTAAAATAATTGAAAAAGGCGGAAAAGCATAAAAGTAGCAATTATTCCAATTAATAGTAAATGCATCTACAGCCATTGCTTCTGGATCCGGTTTCCAGGACACAAAACTTGGACATTTGGCGTTGGTACGAGAGGCAAATAAATCAACTTCCGGTTGGCCAAAATGCGACATGATGGAGTGAAAGGCGCAGTCTGACAACTCCCATTCGGTATCTGGGTTTACAATCCTTGATTCAGCGTCAGCGCGGTTATCTTTTGTATTGACGTATGATGCATAAATAACTATGTTGCGCTCTTCACACCATCGCCAAATTCGACGTGTAATATCATTTAAATGAGGGAACTGAATCCCTCCCATTCGGTTCACATAGCTTAAAGCTGTGGTGTTATCGACACGTAATAGAGTTGAACAGTTTGACTCATTGCATGATAAGCTCTTTAGACCTAGAAAAATTGCTAACAATTCTAAATAATTAATGTGGAATTCACGTTCACTCACTGACCACCAACCATGTGCGCGATTTTCGCTGCAAACTGCGCCCCAGCCTGTTTGAGATGCGTCAGTGTAAATCTCTATTTTAAAACCAGCATTTCGCATATGGTTTGATGTGGTAAGTGCACTTGAACTCCACCAGTTTAAATCTGGAGAAATAGTTTTTGGAATTTCTATTTCTTTTTCATAGTTGTTATTTTTCAATAATGCAAGAAACTTTTGTCTTTCTAACATCTTAGTGTAAAGCCAACCATACTTAACTGCTGGACAAGCAGCAATAAGTACTCCAATCAATTGTGCAAATTCACGGATAGTGCAATGAGATATTCGCAAAAACTTTTGAACCAATTGAATAATACTAGTACGTTTCTCTTCCGGAAGAGATATTGTCAAATTTGTGGTGTTAAAGATAAAACCTAGAAATTTACACGTTTGATTAGGTTGTAAATAACTTTTGTCGACATTTATAATAAATCCTAAACATTTCATTAACTTTAATGTGTCATTTACATTGGTAGAACACATGTGGTAATTACTACCTATACAAAGAGTGTCGTCTAAATAGATAACTGAATCATGACCACGACTTCTCAAACAGGAAATTACTTCTCTCATAATTTTTGTAAAAACCCTAGGTGCCACAGAAAGTCCATAGGGCATAGCTGTAAATTCATAAGTGACTAACTTATTTTCAAGAGTTTCGAATTGAAATCGTAAATACTTCCTATGCCGGGGATGGATTGGCACAAGTAGGTATGCTTCTTTTAAGTCGATTGTAGCTAAATATCCATCTTGTGGTATTAATTTAGAAGCTGTTCGGTAGTCTTCCATTTTGAAATGGGGCTTTGAAATAAATTTATTTAATGATTTTAGATTTAATATGAAGCGTTTACCTCCGTTTGGTTTCGGTGCAAGAAATATCTTTGATATAAATTGGCCCTTGCTCGGAGGACATTCAATAATAGCCCCTAGCTCTAACAATTTATTAATAGCAACAGTCATATCAAGTTTCTCCGATCGTGAAAAGAAACAACGAGGAACCAATTGCTGAATGGGTTCCTTACAAAATAGTATAGAAACACCGTTAAGTACCCAGTCTAACACTTCCTTATTAGAAGTAATGCCTAGCCAACAATTATAAAAGTAATGAATTCTGCCAGCGTGTACCTGAGTTATTAGGTGTTCGGCGCACGCGCCTTGCTCGCGGTCGCTGCTAGTTGTGCGGGAGGGCGCGGCGGCGTCGCTGTGCTCTGGTAGCGACGGCTGCCACTGCCTCGTTTCGACCCTTCTCGCCCGCGACGAGGAGGGGCTGTCCATTTTCCCGAACTGTATGGACGAATTCCCGGCGACTGTGACGAATTAAGAGCCTTTGAAATATTCGTCTTTTTAATTTGTAAACCTTGTTTTTCTATTGCTTTTGCTGCCTTAATTTTCTCAGAAAGTTTATTACCAAACAAGGTTTCGTCCCTTTCTGTATCCTGGATCACGTGATGGAAATTCTTGTCAAGACTCGGAGTAATAAGTTTTATACGAGTCTGAGTGGATGTTGCATGCAGGTCAGACAATATACGACAGCCATTACTGAGATGTTGGATGGCTTCCTTTTTATTGTCCCCCCTTAAAAGCAAATCCAATGCTCTATTTATGGCCGTAATGCCACAACCGAGTTGTTGTTGATGAAATGAAAGTCCTTTGCCTCTGTTACGGACTACTTCCGGAATGGCCGAGAAAATTTCTCCATTTATTTTCGGGGCTTGTAAAAACCGGCAATTATCTGGTATCAGGTATTGTTTCATAATCTTATCTTTATTTTCTTTAGTCATACCTTTTGTCAGTAAAGGGAGCCATAGTTTTGCCAAACTATCATGAATTTTAGGTCCAAATTCAGGAGCGGCATCTGTGGGTTCATCTAGAGCCTCCAATAAATCAGGGTCTAACTCCAATTCATACGATAACGCCTCTAAAGACTGTCCGGCCTCATTTGGCTCGGCAGCTGGCATTGGCAGTGGATGCTCTCTGGCATAGAAATAGGAAATTCTGCCATGAGTTCTGCATTATCACAAGGTGATGCTGCCTCATTATCACGTGGTGTTTCTGCCTCAATATCTCGTGGTATTTCTGCCTCGGGGGAGGCACCCGCAGCATCGTTCCATGATGGATCTATTTTTCCCGAAGGCGGTCGGTGGACCTCGGCGGTTGCTATGCGCTGCGTTGTTTCGCCACAACCTAAAACATATGTTTTAGGGTTAATTAAGCCAAGAATTAACACTAATGTTAATTAGACGTTGTCATCACTTATCGTTGAAAACTCGCAGTCAACCCCGATAGGACTTATACAACGTTATTATTTAATGTCAACTCCTTGTACAGAAGTTATGTGGGTATGACTCGCAGTCAGTCCCCATAATTTGCGAAACAGAGGCAAATTATAAAAAAGAAAATAGTAAAATTAACCTTCATTTGCTTCGGAAGAATCACTCGAAATAACACGCACTCGCCATCGTCGTCGTCGTCGTACAACACTTATTTAAGCCGTTAATCTTTGAATTTTCTTTAGATAAAGATCGATTTTTTCGTCAGCACTTCGTTTCGGCATTGCTAAAACTTAACTTTGTTACGTATAAATGTAGTTATATATTTTTTAGGAAACTATCACAACTTCCAGTAAAATGCGTGTGGTCGTCACCATGCACGAAAAAGGAATGAGCTCTCAGCGGCACGGCTCCGCTTGGCAAGACAAGACAGTAGCGGAAGTATGCCGCCACTTTTGTTTTGAGTCAATTGACTGTCTCTTAAAGCGTGCAAAGTCACCTGTAGGTTTAAGGTACTACGTGGTAAATATTATATCTGAAAAATGAAGCGATGAAATATAATAAATGGATAATATTTTCTCTTACGTAACCATACGCCGATTTTATTCTTTTTAAAATTATGTAGCAAAGTGGCTAACTAAAGTAGAATCCCGCATGAAGCAACTATTTATATGATCTACAATAATACTGGTCTGGGTTTAAATGTCAAAATCAAAGGCAAAAAATATCTTAAATTTGTCTTTTAAAAGCAATTTTTGAATGTCCCTGTCCGCAAAACTGACACAATAGTTTAACAATTGAAATGTTCATGTATGATTCAATCATATGACTCAGCCTCAACAACCCCGTCAGCACTATATCAAATGGCGGCTTCCTATGGGATTGAAAATGAGTCCAAGTTTTTTCTCACGTCCAAGGACAATTGCAATGTCTGAACTTACATACTACAAATTATTAATTTATTTGGACAATTTAATCTGTTTCAGTCGTAATTTGATATTTTAATTAGACTTCGAAAAACCAATCTAATATTAAAACCTAGTAAAAAATTTTTTTGCGCGAGTAAATACAAATTTTAGGTCATGTTATTACAACGGAAGGGATAAAACCCGAGCCCTTTAAATGGTTTTTTTAAATTTATTTATTAATGAATTTATGATACAGTGATGTTACTTAATTCTAAACTCGCCAAACTTTTATGTTTGATGGCAAATGGACCATACAATATAAAAAATAATTAATCTTAGAAATGCATTAATATCTCCACATTTACTACAGTACCCTAACTTTGATAGCGAAAATATGTTTATATTGTAAACGGATGCATCTAGGTATGCCATAGGATTAATATTAAGCAACAGCTATAATAAACAAGTGGAATACGCAAGAATCCCGCACGGAACAAGTATTTGTATGGCCTACAAATAATTGTTCCGGGTCTGGATGTTTGTCCTCTTGCAATGTTTGTTTGTAAACTGCCTCCACGATACAGGAGAAAATCCTAGTATGGGGGTAACGTTTTTAAGAAATAACAAAAAAAAATCATATGCTGCTGAAAAGTGGCCAGCTATGGAAAAAGTTGTATATGACCTTGTTAGCCGTTGTGACCGATGTATGAGGCAAAATCATTTTAAACATATTAAAGGGCTAATGGTCAAAAGAGATACGGTCTATTCCTATTTTGATAAAATTTATGTAGATTTAGTGGGCCCATTAGTTAAGGATATAGATAATACCTAGTACATACTCACCCTATAGTTTGATCTGAGTAAGTATGTAGAGGCTATCCTCTTAGAAATAAAGACACTAATTCGGTAGCTTCTGCGGTTGTTAATAATTTTATCCTAAGGTACGGGATCCCCAACAAATTATAACTGACCGGGGTACTGAGTTCGTTTCTTGTGTGATAAAAGAGGTATGTGATATTCTTAAAATCAAGCAATTAACATCAATAGAATACCACCACCAATCAATAGAAAACACACTTAAGAATCTAATTTCATATTTGCAAATCCAAACTAATAATGTCCCACAAAATTGGAGTGTTTGGTTACCCTACTGGAGTTTTGAATTTAATACGTCAGTACACACAAAACTCAATATACTCCGTTCAAATTAGTTTTTGAAAAACCTTGCAATTTACCCAAACATTTAAGGACCGAGATAGATCCCTTATATAATGATTACGGTTACCCTAAACAACTTAAATATAGATTACAAAAATCGCAATATGACGCATGAAAAAATTTATTAAAAAGTGAAAAAAGAAGAAAACTCAAACATGATAGCTCTACCAATCCTGTTACACACAATGTTGGTGATTTGATACTTATAAGAAACGAACAAAATGTAAACAAACTCGATCCTCTGTACATAATTATAAAGTTCTTGAAAATTGTGACCCAAATTAAAAAATAGACTACAAAGTAAAATAAATTTTAGTACATAAGAATAGAAGTAGACTTCATAAATCGATGTAAAAATTATACTTTAAGTAACTATATACAAAAACATATTTTAAAAAACATATTATTATTTTGTTATTATGACTTATATAAAAAAATGATTTGTCATTTTCATATAAAATAAATCATTTAACTTTTTTATATTTTAAGATGAAAAAAAAATAATTTTGTTTATCATTCCTTTTTTATATTTAGCCGATGGGCATGTAGTGTAGTGGTGTAAGTATCTAAGAAGCTTACCTAATAAAACTGTCTTGAAGTAGTTAAACGCAGGCATTAATAAATTAGTCAGTCATTGAACAACACGTTTTTCATTAATACATGAGCTCCCAACACTAAACAAGTATTCTTTCAATTTAACCTTATAAAATATATATTATACCGAAGTTATGAAAATTTAAGAAACTTGTTATTATGTCATTATCATTTAAAATATTATCTAATCTAATATATAAAAATTAAAGTTTGTGTGTTCGAATTTTATGCATTGCCATACCGTTTATCAGACTGCTGTAAAACTTTGTCAACTTATTGCATGCACTTGCACAAAAGTATAGTGTCATTAATTTACACGCGTATCGTAGTGACAAATTTATTTGAAAGTTATATTATACAGGGTTATTTTTCAAAGACCAGCCAAATTTAATAATTAAATCGCACTAAATGATAATTATCTTTTATACCGTTTGGGTTGCATACTGCCCAGTAATGTTCATTGCGACTATTACAAAGCCCTACACGCGTAAATAAGGCTTCGTCAGTCCACATTATGTTATATAGTATTATCAATGTTTGACAACAACCATTCACAGAAATGTTTTCGATGTAAGCCATCATTATTATTCAGTGCTCGCATACGTTGGTAATGAAATGGGTGATATCCAGAAGAATTCAGTAGTTTCCACACGTAGTACTGGCTGTGATAAGTAATACTAACTACGCAAATTTAAAATAGGATATTCGGTACCTAATGAGGTCATGTTCAAGAAAACACTGTTGGCCGGGCAGGTGAACGTAACTAGCGGTGTAATGGCTGGATGGAAGGGAAAGGGCG